ATGTGTGTATCAAACGTATAAAATAAGTTTATTATACTTTTCATACGAAACCACAACTAATGTCATATACGAGTCAAATAGTGTACAAACACTCGACACAGCGTTTACTATATGTGTGTTAAAAATATCTATAATAAACAATGCGTTTATCAATAATTATACATTAATTGAAAAACAAACATTTAAATATTTTACAAATTTTAGTCGATTATCTATTGGTCAGCAATTTAAATTGCTTGATACATGTTATTCTTGCCGAATTGTCCATGATATTGGATCACGGTCATGCGATGATATAATCAGGCGTTCAATCAACGATCGATACTTATGTTTTAGTTTACCATCCTTGTTAAATACTAAACAACCCACATCAAACATTCCGAAACACGTGGAATTTCACATAATAACCAAGGTGGATAAATGTAAAATTTTTAACTTTCACCTACATGTTCACCATCAGAGTGACCTAGTGTATTTACCAAATCACAAGCCTGCTACTGACATTATGGTCACAAACAATTCGGTAAATGTAATAAAATACACACAAACTGTGGTCACTTATGGAGGGACAGCTCTGGCAAACGTGGCAACACTGATGGGCGACACAAATGCAACGCCCAGTGCTTAACATCGCTATACGCTGGTCAAAATGCAACACTATTTTCGCCAACAACTCTATATTACTTATCAAATACTGATGCCAACAATCATTATTTTACCAATATTGAATGGAACTTTTACTTTAAATGCAATAAACAATGCACAACTGGCGTTGATTATGTTAAATATTTTTACCGCGTTGACAAATATAGTTATGTAACAGCTGTTAATCCGTATAATGTATTTCATTGTTTTATTAAAATATTGTTACCCTCAGAGCCGACGACTGTATACGAGGTATCACTGAAAATGTCTGCCGAAGAATACATTAGTCTAACGGCGAGTGTTATTAGTCTATGGTTTGGATTCTCTATTATTGTGTTTACGGAATATTTGAAAGAAATTATTGCAAAGATTGACATTAAAAATATTTTTAATAAATGTGGTATAAATGTCGTTAATTTTTATAAATGTTTGTAAATCAAGATGCATTAACATTAATCTTACATTCAATAATCGACCTTGCCGCATTAACATTATTAAATTAAATCATTTTTAATTTTTATTTAAGGATATTTAAGAGAGAGAGAGAGAGAGAGAGAGAGAGAGAGAGAGAGCTTGTTTTAGATCTCAATTATACATTTATATTGATTGCGTATTAAAATAAATCAGTAATTTTATATAATGTTATTAATAGTAATTAATTATTGTGGATAGGTGGGTCAAAATGAATATGACCGCTTTCCATCGTGCAGGTGGTGGGGCCGCACTTGGGTCCGGTCAGACGGGCCTCGAAGGCGCGTAAAGTAAGACTGGATACACCTTTGCCGCCGGCGCACCCCTCCTGATCGTCGGCCACGTAAGCCATGGACATGAAAAATGTGTCGCCCGCGCAACGGCCACCAGTTACTACACCATGATTTACCTCATTCATATCACCTACATGTATATTATTAATTAGTAACAGTTTAGACATTAATATTGACAATTCAAGCTAATTAACCAAAATATAAAATAATGCTACTGCTTTTATAATGTAAAACATGTAATATAAAGTATACATGTTTTATATACAGTATAAGTAATATAAATATTAATTTGAAACTTACCATTCAAATGTGAGATGTACACGGATAATTTATCAAATAGCAATTTTTCAGCTTGACCATCCACAACGATTTCGTATTCATTCCATACGGTCTCCATTGAAAAATAGCCATTGCACGTGACATCAAAGGGTAATGAAAAATCTAATAGCTGCAAATATTGCACTTGCGCCCCTGTACATTTTGCCAACTCCGATATGGTAAAGTTTACGTTTACGAAAGGCGTAATTGCTATAATAAATTAATTTTTATATTAAAATATTTTGTTTATTAATCTTTATGTATAAATATTATTACCATGTTTTTCTCCTGTTTTGGGAAGCCCATTCTTATTTACGTTGTTATTTCTTACTGTTTTAGAACAAGTTTCTTCTATAAAAATAGATTATAATTAATATTTATTTATATTCTTACTTATATTATTATTAACAAGTGTACAATCGACGCGCGAGTAATCAACGCATATACACTATGCTTTAATGCAATGCAAGCATTTTATCAAATTTGAGGGCAATTTTTAAATATTTAATTTTTTCTATGGGGGAGTATATGGGAGAGGGTTTTATATCGATTTCACCAAATTTGAGCGCAATTTTTGAATTTTTTATTTTTTCTATGGGAGAGTATATGGGGGAGGGTTTTCTGTTTTGGCCATTATCTCGAAACTCTCTCTCTCTCTCTCTCTCTCTCTCTCTCTCGGTAATAGCGAAAGATAGTGACAAAGCTAAATTGGTCCTGGTCGCTATATATGATTCACCCACTGGTGAAAAGAGGGTACAACTTGATAAATATCTGCCCGATTATGTGGCCAACATCTGTTCCCACTCTCACTGTCCAATTCATGCCAATTATAACAATACTCTTGAGTTGAAAAGCACTTTACCTAAGGATTTACTGCTCGACGCCCAACTCATACAACTTAATGTACACATTATTAATGACAATAGAGATGAGCCCATTTTTTGCACCGGAGTTGATTTGGAAATTGTTGATTAATTAATTTATTTTTTATGAAAATTATTATTATTTTTGTTAATAATGGTAACAATAACTATATTAATAACTGTAATAACTTTGATTTATATCAATTAAATTTATTAATAATAATACAATAATTTAACTAAAAATTTTAGTACATGTTCATTTGGGACACTTAAGTTCTGTCCAAACTGTGGGATATTTATCGTGAATCCATTGATTACGACTGTCGGCGCACTTAAAACCCTTTCCCATATGTATTGTATTCAACGGATTTGCAGCCAAAAAGGTGTCAAAAACATCGCGATTCAAATAGTTTACAAAATTAAACTCCATATAGAGCTCAGTCGGCCGTCCGATGGCGTCAAACGCTCCGCTGGCGAACGACTCGGGAGTCAGATCGTCGGCAACAAACTGTATGTCCAACCGTTGGCCACCACTGGTCAGACCCGGGCCGACAGGAAACGCCCGATTGGCCACAACTGATAGGGTTTGAGCGCCAGTTATGCTCACAGTTTGGAGGGCAGGCAAATCGCTCAGCGCATGCGTCTCGATGGTTGCTATGGGATTATTTTCCAGTACCACATAGGTCAATTGTTTTAGCGCCGCAATGGCACCTGTGGGCACACTGGCCAATGAGCCGTTTCTAATTGTAAACTTGGTCAATTCTGTTAGGGTAGAGATGGCGGCAAACATATCGTTTGCCAACCGTTTGGTGCCGGCGATCGGCGCGCTGTCTGTCCAAAGTCCGGTTACGGTACCGGCGGTACCGTTGAAAGCATCCGGATCTATACGTTGCAATTTAAATGTATTGGTGATATAAATCTCGGTAAATTGTATGCCAGCGAATACGTTGGCCGGCAGTTCCTCTATAGCCGTGTTGTTCAGAATGAATGCGAAAAATTGTTTTTTATTTTCAGGTAGTTTGTGGTCTAAGTCGGTGAAAATGGCCCTTAAATCGGGGTCAAAGGGTAGTGCGCCTCCGCAGTGGATGTTACAGCCATCGACACTTTCTGCAAAGTAGCATGGGTATCTAATGGACACGGCTGGGCTTGGGCAATTGTGAATGGCATTGGTGTAACCGATTAGGCTTATCAATGTTAGTATAAAATCTGTAAAATTAATATGATAATAATTAATGATAAATTAATAAGAAATATATGAATATAAAGCATATGGTATAAAATTAATTTTGCTTACGTTTATAATTCATTATAATGTTAAACAATTTTTATGAAATGTTAATAAGCTAGTCACTATTTAGATTTGTTAGTAATTCTTACATTTAAGCTTATTTATATAGTTTTTATTTGAACTCGAGCGCTACGTTAAATTGTATATGTTATCGGTAATTTGTCTTAATTGTAATCCATAAATACGATCTAGTTTATAGATCATCTTTGCTTAAACTTCTAGTGATTGCCCGTACTTTTGTTCTAGATAACATATTATATTTCTATGAACTTATATACAGGGTGGGTTTTAAGTATGTATTTTTTAAAAAAGCTAATAACTCGTTAACTAGAAGAGATATTTCATTAAAATTTTTTGCATAATATACACAAAAGTATAGGATGATTGAATCATGTTTTCAAAATTTTCGACATCCATGTGAATCGCGTGGAATACCAGGGTTTTAAAAAATGCCACTTTTCGTGCAATTATGTTATATTTTAGAAATCACCATTACTATGGATGAAAACAATTTAAGCACACATCCCATACATCCACTTGAATAGTTTAGCAAAGTTTTTTCCATTTTGAGTTAATAATTTAGAAATGGCACGATTTTTAAAAACAAGACATACAGAATAAAAGTCGCATTCTTTTTTGAAAATCGCGACAGTTGCACATTATTAACTCAAAACGGAAAACACTTTGCTAAACTATTTAAGTAGATGTATGGGATGTGTGCTTAACATGTTTTCATCCATTGTAATGGCGATCTCTAAAACATGACATAATTGTCCGAAAAGTGACAATTTTTGAAACTTTGGTATTCCACGTGATTCCCATGGATATCAAAAATTTTGAAAACCTGATTCAATCATCCTATACTTTTGTGTATATTATGCAAAAAATTTGAATGAAATATCTTTTCTAGTTAACGAGTTATTAATGTTTTAAAAAAACACATACTTAAAACCCACCCTGTAACATAATATTAATAACCACTTATAATAAAATAATTTTCTTCGAATTTAAAAGCTAAAACTTAAGATATAAAGTACTTGAACAACCATTATCATTAGTTATATTCCTATGCATAAGTTTATTGTTTCTAATTATGAGTTCAAAATTTTTAAAAATATTCCGTTATAAACAAGTAGCAATTATTCAATAATTATACAATAATTATTATTGTTTAACAAAATTAAATAGTATCATTTACTAATTGTAGTAAATTGTAGTATATTGTTAAGTAATTCTTCATTTAGTATAAATAAGACTTGATTTTTGTACTTGTAGGTTTAACCGTATGTTTGGCATTATTGACCACAACATTTAATGTTAAGTTAAATTTATTTTAAATAATACTATAATTTTATTAAGTTTAACCATTCTTAATAAATTAATTATCATAATTATGTATCTTTATTAAATAAATTATATTATCATAATCAATTATTGCAAACAGGTGGATTCAAAGAAATGTGACCGTATTCTAGCGCACATACAGTGGGGCCACACTTGGGTCCGGACAATCTCGCCTCGGCGTAGCGCATGGTAAGGGAGGCCACGCCTTTATCACCGGCGCACCCGTCCTGATCGTCGGCAATGTATGCGCTGGACCTTAAAAACATGTCACCCGCGCACCGACCACCTGTCACTGTGCCTGTGTTCACCTCGGTCATATCACCTTTGTACAAAATATATGTGATGATTTAAATTGTTTTTAAATAAAACTTGTTAATTTATCAATTGTTTGAGTGTGAACTTTAAATAATACTTAATTAATATTGGTGCAAACTCATAAAACTATACTCTAACAATAAAAACTAGTGCAAATATAGACTGTTTTATGCTTTGTATATTATACATATTAAATTATCTACATTAATTTAAATAATCAACTTAACACGTGATAAAAAAACTATTGCTTGACTTAAAATCGGACATTAAAAATTCAATTATTAATTTAACATGGCTATTAGACTTACCATTTAAATATGATATGTATGCGCTTATTTTATCAAATTGCAATTGTTCCACTTGACCGTGCACACCTATTTCATATGTCCAGTTCCCTTCATAGAGATATGAGTCATAGCCGTTGCACGTGAACTCACTGGGAGCTGTCATTGTGTTTAATTTAACGTATTGTACGACTGACCCTGTACATTTCATTGATTCCGATATAGTCAAGCTTGTTTTCACAAAGGGTGTAACAGCTGTAATAAATAATTTAATAATTATTTTGTACATTTTTTAAAATTCATTACAATTTTTTATATAAATGTAAAATTACCAAATCTTTGTCCAGTTTTAGGAAAACCATTAATATTAATACTTTGATTCCCGTTTGCATTGATATCTATAAAAATAATTAAATTAATTTTAATTACATTTTAGTTTTGACATTATTTGTTAAGTTATAAATACTTTTAAAATTAACCGATGTGAAGACAAATATAAAACAAACTATGTTAATGATATTTAAATTATTCATTATAAATATTTGTTAAAAACTTTAATTAAGACAATGTATAAAACTTTATATAAAACTTCTATTATTTATATTATTGTTATACCTTTACGCTAGGCATTGTGTTTAAAATATATACACACTTGTGATAATTGTAATTTTGCGTTTTAATCGAGGTCAGATTGAATAATCCACTTTAGAGTGTCTAGTTATCCAGCACTTGATGTCTATTAAGATATCAATTTATTCCATAATAAGTACAGTATTGTTTAAAAAACCTAAGTAAGTAATTAACAAAATCTTGTAATAGTAGACCTAGGTAATAAATGCACATTGTTATTGGCAATTACAATTCTACAAATAGATGTAGAATTGTATTGTATATTTATTTAATTGTAAAGAGTATTACATTAAGATGTTTATGTAATTTCCACCAAATCAAATCATATCTTACAATGTCCTTCAAAATAGCTGGAACTTAATTTACTAAAGTACTCGATATAAGTTAAAGTTATAACTTATTATAAGTTATAACTCAATATTACTTTACTGATACTAAAATGTTTACTCTTCAACATACACTTACGAGCCCCATATGTGACCCTGGTACATAAAGTACATAACATAACATCAAGTTCTGACTTACTCGATATCATGAAAAATACTATCATATTTATGCGTTGCGCTAATTATACCATTCGTATTAACGCATATCTATGTTTTATATCTTAATAGATAATGTGAAAAACTAGTATAAATAAAATGAATATGCTTTACATAGGGTTTATTATATTTTACAATTAAGTTATACGAGTTAAATAGAAATTAATAAAAATATTT